TAATTTTACTCAAAAGTCAAACCGCCGGAAATGAGTGGGTTAACAGGTTTGTAGCAAGAGCAGGAAGCTCCAATTATTATTATTATTTATAATCAAGGGGAAGCGCTAAACCCGGAGGATTATACAGCGCCTAGGGGGGATGTGGAAGGCATTCAGGCTTAATTCGGGAACTGGAGCACAGACCCAATTCCTAAATCAAGAGCCCCTCACCAACATAGGAAGCTCCAATACCTTCCATCAAGAGCCATTTATTCACATACATATACAGTATAAGAAAATGCTCAATCACCTTCTAGAAGAAACTCATTTTTCCTTGATACAGCTGGAGGAGGTTTCAGGTCATCTGTCAGATACAGCTGGAGGAGGTTTCAGGTCTTCTGTCAGATACAGCTGGAGGAGGTTTCAGGTCTTCAAGTTGCCCACGTTATAGAAAAAATAAATGCATATAATATCCCATGCACATTCTCACATAAGATGAGCACTGCATTAATATATCACTGTGTGAGCAACGTTATTTATGTAACGAAGCTACTATCATAGGGAGACGGAAATAACTGGCAAAAAATACAATTAGAAGAACTAATAAATATTATATTTCTCATACATTTTTTCCGTCATACTAAATATAAGTAGTTTTAGTAGAAAAGCCTACCTTGCAAAAATTAAAGCAACGATTTCATAATTTATAATTCCAGTATTTTTTTTTTTTTTTACTTCTTACCGCTATTACCAAAAATGGATGCAATACCCTTGTATTATTGGAACGTTATTCAAGATAAATAAATATCGTGTCAGCAAAGTAGATTGATATATTATACAACGTATTAATTATCTCAAAATTATGTATTATAACAAAGAAAATTCTTAATTGAAAAATGAAATAAGGGTTATTATGAATGGAAAGAGGGAGGGAGGGAGGGAGAATGAATGAATGAATTAAAATAAAACAAATGAAACCTGTAATATAGAAATCAATATTAAAGAGCTTTAACAATAACTTCCTTAAATTTGGTGTGAGCAGAGACCTTTCCAAGGCTCCTAGAGTACCCTTGTGATTCATGCTTTCATTATTCGATTTTTTTTATCGTATCGTCCGTGAATTCATTTTTCTACTTTGTTACTCACAATATCTCACTGACCAGCTGTTAGTTATATGATATGTAGCATTTCTTGCTTTCTCTCCGTTAACCTTCTTTGTGGTTTCTTACTCATCATCTGATACTCATACTTAACATTTATTGTATTATTCTCATTTATTGTCCATTTGTTTGATTTATAATTTTACTTCAATTTACCATACTTTTCATCAAAATACCCAATCTATACATAGATAACCAGCAGTTCCTTTTCAATATTTCTATCAATTTATCTTCCTCCTGCCTGGTTATTACGTGTCTACTGAATTATTCGCCTTCCATGTTGACAAGTTTTTTCTTCTCTCTCGTGCTCTCACAGTATTCCCTCGAAGATGTCAGGCGCGGCACTCCACACACTGCAACTCAAGGACCAAACTTAACAGTGTGGATAAAATTATTTGCACGATTGCATAAGTCATTGGACAACAGCAGCATAGTTATTCAAAAGCAGCAGTTAAGCGACAGCACAGCTACTATACAGTAGCACAGCTACTGAGCAACAGCAATTACGCAGTACCAGCGGAGCTACAGAATAGTAGCAGTTACAATAGGACAGCTCAGCTACTGAGCAGCAGGATTTCCTTACAGTATGACAGTACAGTAGTGGACAAAACAGTGGACAAAACAATCAGCTAAACAAGACCTGAGGTTACGATCACTGAGCCAATTATAATACAGCAGTCCGTTAAAACATTATGACACACCTATCAAAAGTTATGAATACCATTAATGACACGTACACAAATTTTAGCATACCTGAAAATCTCCGCAGGCCTAATATACATTTTTATTTAAAAGTAACTACTGGCGTAACATTATTAGCTACTGCAATGTGTACGGATAGTAAATGTACTGTATCCATATATGAAGATACGTGCGGGACATGTAGATGTAAACATCACTAAATACTTACTCCTTACTGGGCTTCTTCAGGATTCCTCGAACCTGGGGCTCACCACGAGACTGGAACACAAATACAGATGACTAATACGATGATAATAATGCTAATGATTAATTATCTTGAGATACACTCCAGTCGAGGTCAGGATCACAATTGTGGGTCTGATATAGGTCAATGGCTCATATATGCTTACAATGCAAACTCGGACGTACTGGTTATCAATTTATATTACTGAATTCTTATATTTTCAATCAAGGGGGAAGCGCAAACCCGGAGGATTATACAGCGCCTGGGGAGGGGGGATGTGGAAGGCATTCAGGCTTTAAATTTGGGGAACTGGAGCCAGATTCAATTCCCCAAATTTAAGAGCCCCTCACCAACATCAAGGAACCTTCCTTGAGGGGTGATATTTTCAAGCTTATCTTGACAAACTATGTTGAAAGTCTGTGGTACATCTGGTGCGTTGTAAACTATGTCCTAGCCATTAAAAACTTTATATCATCCCACTTATTGTGTGATTTTTTATGAAATGTCACTCTTGCAAACAAAGCAGTATGGACGAATTAGCAAGTTTTTATATACATCGAGTGGTATGTGTATATACATCGACAAACTAATTTAATCCCTATTTTAGGGATTAAAGTATTCTTTGACGTTAGTGTACAAGTGAATTGCTGCCTCAATGACCAACGTGTATTATTATTATTACGGGAGAGTGCTAAACTTGTAAGGATTATACAGTACCTGTGGGGGAGGGGGATATCGAAGGCATTCAGGTTCAATTCGAGGAACTGGAGCACAGATCCAATTCCCTAGATTAGTAGACGATCTGATTGAATCCTAAAAAAATTTTAAATTAGCACGGTTACTTTCATTCCACATTTACAAAGTTTTAATGGATTTTTTTTTTTTTTAGCATTTAAGGAAGGCGAAGGTACTTGAACCTACCTGAGAGAAGGTAGCAGGTGATGAAAGTGGTAGTGGTGCTGCCTGCGTAACTCCAGCGTCCCCTAGAATACCTGATAAGTTTATGTTTATATTCTGCTGGACGCCGCCAATCCCTGTTAAGCCAACATTCACGGCTGGATTCTTATCCCAAGCCCCGTAAGTTATATGAAGCTTGCCTGGACTAATTTTGTGTGTGTTCCGAGTGTCGGAGGCTGGTGGTTGGTTGCCGCAAGAGGGATCAGATTCACCACCAGCTTGCTGTGGTTCATTTGGCTTCCTTGCAACAGGTTCTTGAACCCTGTGATACAGGGACTGTAGAGCCAACATCTCTTGTTGGCGACACCACTGAAACATCTCGAGGTCTCGCCAGTCGTCATTATGCTGCCGTGGTTCTTTGGACGAGACTGAACCCTTAGCGCCACAGCGAAGCTCCTTTGTTGGGACAGTTGGGGTAAAAATGTTGAGCTTACTGCGGGGCCTCCCCCACTGGGGACTTGTCCACTCCTTCGTAAGATGAGAGAATGGATCATTTTTATCTTGTGTGCTTCCAGTACACTGTCCAGAGTAAGAAACTGATGGTTTTATTCCCGCGACAGGTTTTAGGTGTGAAGAATTACTGGGGTTAGAGCTGCTCTCGCACATTTCTTGTTTTGATATGTCGAAGGGTAACTCATAGTCTTGTAAGGCACTCCAGTCTTTGTAATCAGAACCTTGCGAGTAATAGTCTTCATCTAGAGTTTGGCTTGGGTAGTTCAAGCTATGAAGTTGTACTGGCATCACTTGATCTTCCAAGCTCTGATGCCGCCGACTCACCAAATTAACATTAGATTGGTGTAACTGCTGTACAAGGGCACTTCTTCCACTGTCAGAGTGTTCACCTGGAGTGACAACCTGTTCGTCTTCATGATGCTGGAAATTAGGAAGACTGGTGTGTGGTAAGCAAGAGGATGTAACTTGGGGATAATTTAGTGTCTGGTACTCTTGTGGTATTGAACCATAGCTGCGAAAGGGTATTGGTTCTTGATGTTTCTCTTGAAAACTTGCTTGCTCAGGTTTTGAGCTTTCATTGCTAAATATATACGAAGCCGTTTGGTTCTGATTATTTGCTAGACGTGGATAATGATTTTGAGAGGTAAATCCACGCGAGTCCAGAGGCTGTGGTAATCTTTGATTTCTTATGCTCTGCACAACAGATGTCTGCTGCGGCTTCTGATAAGTATATGGTGATGGCATCCTCAGGGGCGTTTTTATTTGCCTGGTTTGAGGGAATGGCGGCATAGTCCCTGCAAAATCATTAGTTGGTTCAAATGGCAGTTGCACTGGTCTTTGGCCTTGATTGGCTTGTTGCCCTAAAGGTCTTATTGGGGTTTGGATGTGCCCGGCTTGGTTTTCTTGACTTACTGTTGGTCGACTAATCTGCTTTGTCTGTAGAGCTAGAGACTCTTGGTGTGTATTTGCCTGTGCTCTTGACAAATGTGTTGAACTCTGAGGCTGCTTACTTTGTTCTCCAAAAGTCCTCACACATCTTTCGTCGTAATTACTTTCTGTTTCTGTTGGTCGTATAAATCTTTGAGGCTGTATAGCTTTCACAGCTGAAGGGCTTGAGGGCCGATGGTACCGAAATGTTTGTATTCCTAAAGGTCGTAATGACTGGGTATCGTGCGTGATATGTGTTCCGAGGGAACTCACAGTTAGCTTATTCTGACTGTCCTCTTTTAATATAGGACTCAATAATCGGTTGTTATTATTTACAGAGGATTGTGAATGTCTTTGTGCTGCCTTGTGGTTCCGTCCTTTTGCCTGACACAAAAGCCTTTGTACTTCTCTACTTTGCATCCGTGATATGTTCTGTGTTCTTTGTTCAGACTCGGGTACTGCTGAAACTTGTTGTATTTGCTGCATTTGTTTAATTTCAGGTCGCTGGTCAGTGGACCGCTGGCTATATGGTTTATTTAGCTGGATTTTTGGCGGCAACTTGGTGTACGGTGGATGTAGTTGATTATTTGGCTCTTGGTTCTGACTTTTTGTGTGCTTCTGTCGAAACTTAAACCTATTCCAAGAAGTTGACAAATTCTCCGAAACTTCTGGATATTCTGCTCCTAGTGGCTTACTGAATGTGCCTTCATATGTCTCCGTCGAAACCTTGTTCTCGCCTGTATAGTTTTCTTTTTCTGACGTGAAAATATCCATTCCGGGGAAATCATCTTGGTATTCCTCATCAAAATTCCACCCATTTTCAAATTCATTCAGGACATCTTCATCGATCAATTTTTCTATCTGACACTGGTTATCCGCATACGTTGGACGAGGAATGCGTCCGTGGCTGTTGGTACTATCGTGAAACACTCGGTTATTAGCATTACCACAGCTTTTATTTTCACTAGTGTTGGCCTGGTTATAAGTTTCAGTAGCGTTATATTTCAGTATCTTTTGGACGACTTTTGGTTGGCGCAAGTTATCATTGGCATGGACTTGTAAGGTGCTGGACCGTATAGGAGTAGGTACGTGCATCAAGCGGGGACCACATGGGGAATACTTGAACTTTGAAAGACTTGTTGTTCCACCACTCTCGTTCATCTGATAGATATAAATCTGAATCAAAACAAGTGGGTAATAAACATAATTTTGTTAACTGTTTGAACATCAGTAAGCTATAACACAGACACATACACAACTTTCTAAGTTACAAGCATACAAAGAGTACATATGGGGATATGTATAATTTCACGTGTGCTGCCTACCTTGATCTTCTTAACAGATGTCTGAAGCAACTGGTTGCTTCTCTTACGGATCTCCTGTAACATCTCTGGCACTCCCACGGTGCTGCTGCTGCTGCTGCTACACTCCGGCCGGGAGCTGACACCAACCTTCCAGCGAGAATAACTGATGTATTTACATGCTTAAATATCTCTGTAATATATACACAAATAAAGTACGGTACTGCATATCACACCTACCTATATTTGTGAGCCTTTTTCTTTTTTTTTTAATCCATGACAAATTTCGCTTTGAATAAAAAGAGATAAAGTAATCATCTACAAAGAGCGTAAATGTTTTCTAAGTTCTTGTGAACTACGAGTTTTAACTACAGTAAACATTAAACAATGAATCCAAAAATTTCATCTACAACACTTCTTCCGTAGAAAAAGGAGCCAACTAGCCCATTCTTTGCAGGTCCGGTTCACACCCAACTTAACTTTATCACTCATTTACTGTGTGTAGAGACATGGAGACCCACCTTACAGCACTTGTGGGCACATGTGCGCTTATCACCACAGGTATGTAGGCAGGCACGCCAGCCTCCTTCATTCACTGCAACAGTGTTGTTCTTGCCACCACCCTCCCTGCCTCCTGCACCCTCATAAGATGGAAAGATAAATGAAGGGGACGACTGCCTCACTTAATAGAAATTTATACACAGGTAAAAAAGAAATGATATAAATACGTTCAATTATTTAAATATTAATTTTAAATTATTTAAAAAAAAACTCATATTTTGCAGTGCTAAAAAATGAGAAAGTTATTAATGAAACGCGACAGAGGTATCTGCAGTATATGTTACCGTAATGAAAGACTGATGATGCAGATTGAAGAACATTATATCACTCATGAGAATAACATATAACAAATTTGTACACATTCCAACTTTTCATAGGTTAACCTTCACATCCTTATTAATATTATATTTCTCTCCTGTAAGGTATATATAAATAATATATACGACAATACGAAGACGCTTAACTGTACGCTGTAATGTTTCATGATCGGCTCAATATAGACCCTACATATAGAGCAGGTCACTATGATACATCAAACCGGTCACCACTCATTATTACCTGTTTGGTTCATCCAGCGTTTAAACACTCGGCATCATCGCCAAACGTATACAACAAACATAACTATGGACCACATGTCGTGTTTATTCATGAGGAATGATACTTGTATATTGGTATCCATTACGGATCGACAGAGTTCATAAATGACGAAATAATGAATATATGTAACATGGGATTTAACTTGAAGTACCCTAAACCAATCATTAATAAATCTTTGAAAACTGCAAATAATACATTCAGCAATCGAGAAGACACGGAGCCAAATTCTAAAACTCGCCTGCCAATGTACCTCGTTTTCACGCCCAATAAGTGTGTGCATGTGTCGTAAAGAATAGGTAAAACTGGTCAATTAGCAAGAACTCATTTTAAAATTAAGTCCTTTCTAAAATATTCTCGTATACGTTTAGATATTTTTTTTTATTTATGTTAATGTAAAAATTAATAATTTTGTACCAAAAGAACCTTAGAAAAATTACCTACCCTTATTAAAACAAGCGCAATTTAATTTAACCTAATCCAACTAAATATATTTTAGATAAGTTTACAATAATTTAATAATAAACAAACATAATGAAATGTAAATACATTTCATTATGTTTATTTATTATTATTCGCTACGCTCAATGATTTTTCAGAAATTATTACACACAAATTTTCGCTTGCCTTATTCGGCAAGAAGAGCATTGCTACTTAAGCCAACATCGCAAGTTTTACCTATTCGGCACGATTTTGGCTTAAATAGCAACGCTCTTCTTGCCGAATAAGGCAAGCGAAAATTTGTGTATGCAATAATTGTGAACCTAACGAAAAAAAATACATTGCAGGAGTGGCATCCCCCTTTAGGGCTGCCACTCTGCGCAGAGGGGAACTCCCATAAGTAGTGGGAAATATAAATACATGGGGGAGAAATGGGAAAAAAATTGCCTGGGGAAAACACGCGGAATATATTTTTAAAATGAGGGGCTCGGGCAAATACAGAGGGATTTTCAGTCCTTTGTAACTGTTTTTGATTGTCCCAACAGTGTCCAGATCCTGTGAAAAATACTAATTCAGCTTTCTGAAGTTGGTTATAAATGGTATGGTAATACTGACAAGCTATGCATAAAAAACACTTACGTACTGTTCAGGGCATTTATTATGGTTAAAGTTCTGCTTTCAATAATAATTTTATAGATGATAAAGTTTATTATTTGCTGGTCAGAAATTTACTGCATGCTAGTGGGTTTCTTTGTTGTCTAACAATATTTTATTACATGTAAACTACATTATCTGCGTACTGCATAAAAAAAATAAAAAATTAGAATTTTGAATTCGTATTAAATTACTTATTCTATACCAGGAATCTAGTTATGTAAACTACTAAACGTAATTTTTTAATTCATTTTCAATAATAAATTGGAAAGAGGAGACTGCAAATAGGGATAAATTGGGTAATCAGTAGTTCTTTATTTTATTAGATTTATCAGGCAACCTGATCCTTTGATGCCCATCCCTGCGTTCAAGTGTTGTACCTCAGTTAGAGGATGAACATCCTAACAGAGGGTGTCACGGGCAACTATAACCCAGCTTAAGTAAGTTTATTTTGGTACAGTTACACACAAGTACAATTATCATACGTAGTTTCACACATGTGTAAATTACCCAGGATAACCCCCAAAAAAAAGTCAGTGACTTATATCCACTGGGGTCCTTGAGAATTATATCTAAATCTTAGTTTGACGTTACTGGATTGTCCTAAACTATATACGCATACAAGTCACTCGTAAAAATGTGAAATTGTATAAAGAGCCAAATAAATGCATTTAAAAAGGTGTCTGATGAATGTAGCTACAGAAAGGGAGGGGTATGATTTTCTATTTTTTAGCTAACATACGTGCAATTTTTTACCTTATTCCTAGTAATGACCCTCGTATTGTAGTCTTAATGACCCTCGTGTAGTAGATAGTCTTTTTAGTATGATAATAGGATGTTATCTTCATGATAGAATAATAAGAAAATCTTCTAACCTTTATTTTATAATAATAAGGTAAAAGGACCCCAATGGAAATAAGTCACTCTGTCTGACTTTTTTGGGTTATCCTAGGTTCTCTACACATATGCTGCTATGTATGATAATTCTATGTAACTGTATTTGTGTATACCTGAATAAACTTACTTATCTCATTTAAATTTTTCTTAAAACAAGTGTACTAGGCTCTCAGCTCCCATGTGGTCTAGTGGCTAGGATACCTGGCTTTCACCCAGGAGGCCCGGGTTCGATTCCCGGCATGGGAATCAGTTTTGTGCAAGTGTTCGTTAATTTTAAGGTTCGTTGTATATATTATGACTTTACCTTACTATTTAAACTTTCAACCTTTACATTTTTATCTGAACTGGCTGCACACACGTCATGAACTTCTATAGCCGAGGGGTCAATGCCCCGAGCCGCGGGGGCGTTGACCCCTCGGAATACCCTCCATGTTTACTGTAGACTGGAGATAACTTGACTCAGAATATCGTCTGTAATGTGACGTTGACAAAATATATAATCACAGTTTTTGACTAATGGTTACCTTCGTGAGTCTCTTGTTTTCTGTTTCCAACAAATTTATCGTCCTTATGCATTATTTCATTTACTGGCGTTACTGTATGTTCAAGCTGGTTAAATTTTGTTTAAAAGACGAAATTCTAATGTAACGTAACCTAACAACGCATATATTAAGAGTCTATCTATTTAACATTTTTTTCGGCTGTAGTGAATTGTGATTTTGAAGGCATCTTAATCGATTAAATTGCTTACCAACTCATGTTCATAATTTTGATATAAACACAATTGTGATCACTTCCTATGGAAATGTGCCATAATAATAATTGACTTTGTTGGTTTATATCACGGGTTAACAGTATACCCTCCGAAGTCAAATCAAGCCATGGGTTTATCCTTTCTTATGTTGGTGTGGGTCGCATCCTGAGGGACAAGCTTGAAGGACCCCAACAGAAATAAGACAGAGTCCTTGATGACGCACTGACTTTCTTGGGTTATCCTGGGTGGCTAACCTTCCGGTTTAGAAATTCGAACAAATCTTATCAATCGATTGAGTTCATCAGAGGTTGCCATCTTGGTAATTAGCATAAGTGATGCACACTGTTGTGGGGCGACCATGGTCCATATAGCACTTTACACTGTATAAGCGAAAGGGAAGCTCCGAATGTTACATAAATCAACGCTTTTCGGGCATTATAATACATAACTAGTTTATATGTTCACGAATTTCAAAAGCTGTTAGCTCTGAAGTAAAATTGTACATAATATATAGCAAACATGACATAAAATGAGATTATAGTACTTTGTTTGTGAGGTGCTAATGGTGCTGGCATAGTAATGTGGGGATCAGCAGAGAAGGTCTGTGGACGAGGCAGGTAGCGGGGACTGTAGCTGCTCTGCACATCTAGACCAGCTGATTCATGTAAAAGAAAAAAATGTTAATACGCCAAAATTATTTGGATTTCTTTTGGCTATTAACTTTCCGAAGTTAATACTCGGTATTTTCTTTTTAAATACAATAGTGATGTGACGGAAGGTCACTACAGAAACTATGTACAGTCTAGGAAAAAGATAAGACACAGCTGTACAAAAACAGAAATGAAAGAATGCAGTAAAATAGATCATGCTAAAATGTCGATCGTGAAAGAAACAATAATAAGTCAAGAGTTTGAGAGTGGGACTTACCCCAGGTTTCAGAGATAAAGTTAACAGGTAGTTCATCCCCCGTCTGAGCCCTCGTCACCTTCACCACCCGAGACACACTTCCAGATATAACCAGTGCTGCATCTCTGGAATTTAATTACATTCTTAATTTACTACATAAAATTTCAAGCATTTTTTGGCTTGCAAAAACTTTGTTTGCAAGAATAGTTTCCTAGTAAACTCATAAATAGGAAGTGAGAATTGGACCATGTTTCGGTCCGTCCTGGATCATTATAAAGTCGAGTGATCTAGGACTGAAACACCGTTCATTTTAATTTCCAATTTGTCGTGAATTATTCCAGCCACTGAACTTTGTGAGCTAACATTAAATACGTATTTCTTGAGCATTTCTGAAGCACTTATTGTTTTTAAGATTTTTATCGTCGAACAGCCTAACCTATTTAAAAATGCAAGTACATAATAGTTTTACCAATAAAGTTTCTTGTTAGAAATATATACAATGTTGGTACAAACTCCTAGTTATCTGTAGCCAACTAATGCCACAATAAAATGTCGCATTAGTTGCATTTCTGTCTTTTACCTAATATACTGTAATTCTACCAGCATTATTACAATATATATAGAAAATATATCTCAAGTAAAATATATGATTCGTGAGGATGTCAGTTGTGGTTTATATATTTGTAGTGCTCGCCTGTCACGAAGAATTTGGAGGGATTCTTTGCAAGGGTTTGGGTGAGTTTATCTCGGCATTTTATAGCACGTCAGGTACAACAGAAGACTTAGTTTAATCTAAATAAATACATTACTAACAGATTGTATTTTTGCGCTTCATGCTCAAATAAATATTCATCATAATTCGTTTTAAATTCACTAACAATAATACCGAAATTATTATTATTTGTTATTGTTGCAATAATTTTCACACCGCTTTGCCCAACATTTGCATACTATCAGCAAGACTGGCGTTCGCACAATTACAATCTGTGCATTATTTGTGTCAGTCGAAGGAATCTTTAGCAACTACATGTAAAGATTTAGTGATGACATGAGACTAACGTGATACGCTGATTGTAGAGGACGTTGTTGTCAGCGTCGCCGAGGATGAGTCTGCAGGAGTGGTGTTTGGGGGTTGTGGCGCCTGCCCGCACCTCCTCTTGGTTCGCGAGACACACAGTCACCCTCACCTCACTATGCTCAACTCTCACCTACAGCACAAAAAAATACGCATGGCATCATGTTAATTTATGCCCACTTACGTAGTGTAACATCAGGATCTATCAAATGTACTTAAGTACATCGTATTTTTTTTTTTCAACAAGTCGGCCGTCTCCCACCGATACAGGGTGACCCAAAAAGAAAGAAAATCCCCAAAAAGAAAATACTTTCATCATCATTCAACACTTTCACCTCACTCATAAAAAAGAAACACCACAGAAACCTAATTCGAAAAAAAATCAAAATTCTGCCGGGAGTCGAACCCACGTCTGTTGCTTTAAAGGCAGCCGTGCTGACCGTTGCACCACAGTCATACATTTATGTTGATTAAAACCTAGGATAGGATGGTATAATCAGGTGATGCACGCATGCACTCGGGTAATGATTTACAGTGGTTGGGGTTTGGTGGATAAACTCTTTGCTCATCTGGCGTTCTGGTTGGTAATAGTCCATGATCCAATTAGCCACAGAAGAGCAACTATACCCACATTTCATAGTGCATGCATTGTCTGTCACCTCTGAACCTCACATATATATACCTTACATTCCAACAGAACGTAAAATCTCAAAACTACTTGTTTCCACTTGGTTTTAGTACGCTCACACATGCCTGTGGATGCTCATGCCCCTACCTCTTAAAAAAAGACTTCTTCACACCCTCCTTCCAACCTACATGTACACCTTGGTCAACCTTTCTTTCTCCATTGTTTCTTAATTACCAAGCCATCTCAACAATCCTTCCTCTCTTGAATTATTCCTTTCACATTCACCACACCGTTTTCTACTTTTTTCTTACTCTTTATTCTCTGACTAATATTCACACCACACACTGATCTTATACATCTCCACTGCCTCCAGCCTTCCCCTCACTTAAATATTCACGAATCATACCTCACCCATACAGAAGTGTCACCGCCAATATACTCAGAGACCATCCACATATAACCGCCACTGACACACTTCTTTTCCACAGAATTCCTAACACTTGCTACTTTTCTCTTAACTACAATATGATTCAACTCAAATTTCATATCAATCCATTGATCCCTTCGTATTACTCCTAATACCTTTTTATTTTCTGTATTCACTTTCTTCTTAAACCCTTCCAACTGCTCCATTAACTTCTGCATCTTGTTTTGATTCATGCTGTATATTTACACAGCACTTCCCATCTTACCAAAGCTCTGGTCATAAGTTAAGTACCCAGTTCCATTATGCAACCTTAGTAACGCCATAAAAAGTGACCACTAAACTCCGGGATTTTCAGAAATTCAGAACCTATTACTATTGTTACATTCATTTGGAAGCGCCTAGTAGCGACTAGCGAAGAGACGGGTCCAGGACCTATGGATCGACCCCTGCAACCACAAACAGGTGAGTATCAAATCCGTGAGGATCTTTCAGAGCCTGGAGAATAAGACGGGTCGAGGTCTTCAGGTGTGACAATACTACCTTTTTTTGTGGTTAAATATACTTTCATATAAGTTTGGGTAACATAACCTAATTTAAAGAAAAAATTACATTATTTACAAGTTTATAGGAAGAGTTTTAAAAATGAATTTCGC